ATAAGTAACAATTCGCACTGCTGAACATGAGCACTCGGGTTTACATGACTGTGCCAGATTGTACCATCTAGGCTCATGTCAATTTGCAATGTGGTCAGGAGGCTATTAAACACTAAAGAAACCGACAAATATAAAATATAATATACAACACAGGCCAAAAAAATCCAACACATCAAAGTAAATAAACAAAGACCAAAGCAAATTTAGTCACTTAAAATTTTACGCCTTTAACACTTTCTCCCCCAGCTTTAAATCAATACAAAAGTAATGAGAAAAAACAACAAACACATGAATCTTCTTGCAAACTATGAACGTTGCCACAAGAGGATTGGGTAATCTATTTTTTATCTTCTCTATGAAAAATGTATGCTCTTTGGTTGGAGGTTACAAAAGTTATTCACTAATGCATGTGCTGACAATGAATGCTTTTCAATGGTAGTCTTGGCTAATTCCCACATTAGTTTAGACTGGGTGAAATTGGTAATCCACTCATACAAGGAGGTGATTTTACCTTTGGCAACGAGTGGCTTTTTAGCTCATTGGCCTACTGGATTACACTTTCTGCAGGGTCTTGTGGTGAATGGTTACATTTTTTATGATGTAAGAAGCTTACGGTTCAGCGTTGATGAGCGTTTGGAAGAAAAACCCAGACTGAATCAATACAAATAGCTTTAAGGTAGAAGACTGCTCCTGTATATGCTCTGAGATGCATTAGTTTCTCAACGCGCCTGTAAGGGTCACTCCCTGCATTCAAATGCCATCTGCATTCAAATGCTATGTAAATACAGCACTTGGTCACAATGATTCACATGTGAAGCAAAATTACATGCATCCATTAGTGCTTGGAGGACATAAATATGACCATTTTAGCTGTAAAGCAAAACATCTAATGTGACTGTCCCTCTATCGTATGGCATAACAAACATTGTCAACTCTAATTGAAGTGTTTTGATTGGTCTAAATTAATAGATTCTTTTGAAAATAATGAGCAGATAATTAGTCATAATCAAGTATGCTAACAAGAGCTGATTTATTAACTGATTTCTCCATACCGGCTTCGTCAGTGTTCACTGCATGCCAGGCTTTATTTTAATAACGCTGTCTGTCCCAATCATCATCAAACCACTTTTTTTTTATTGCAGAGAGAGAAGTCAGTTATGAAGCTTTCAAAGTGCCAGGCTCTGCTGATGCTTTTTTTTTTTTTTTTCGTCTAACACACAATGCCTCGTTTAGTGTCTTAGTACAGCAGGTATTTAGAGAGAAGGGGATTTAGAGTGATTAAAAGTCAGTTGGAGATGTGTGGGTAATAGTTTTAGTACCATACCTATTCTGTAGTTCAGTGAAGAAGGTATGCATCTTTAGATGGCTGCAGCTTCATGCTATTAGCATACCAACCATCTATTCTGCCACTTGTCCTTGCGGGGTCAAAATGGTGGGTGCCAATCTCAAGCAATCAATGGCCGAGAGGCGGGGTACACCCTGGACAGGACTCCACCCCAATGCAGGTTATTGCTGTATAGTGCCTTGCAAAATAAATGAGTTTTCACATTTTGTCACAAAACCACCTGCTTCAATACATTTTATCACATTTTTCTTAAAAGCTAAATCAAAACAATATGCATACATGTGAAGTGGAAAGACAAAGATCTATAACTTTCTTTTTTTTATATATAAAAACATATATAAAGTTTCTTACGCATATGTACTCGGCTCCTTTTACTCTTTCAACTCAAAATAAAATCAAATGCAGCTCAAAATAAAATCAAATGCAGATGACATTTACTAAGTCATCTACTTAGTAAATGTAATATAACATTGGAAAGAATCCAGCTTTTCTACAAAGCCATCAGAGATTTCTGAGAAAACATTAATGAACAAAGATATATCATAATGCTCAGATATATCACAAACATTCCCAGTAATATACATATTAAGATTTGTGGCAATAATGTTGCAAAATATCAAAAAGAGCATTGGTACTTTTGGAAGGAAATGTAGGGAAACGTAGACGTATCCGGGCACAAGCTTCTGGCTCCCAGTGCTGCACCAGTGAAAAGTAAGTCAAAATTCAGCACAGATAGGTATCGACTTAACGAGAATAAATGGCAAAGAAACGTCAACCAAGAAAGTAGTAGAAACAAAGAGCCCAATATCTGTAGCAATTAATTTCAAGTTCAAGACCGAGCTTTTTTGTCATGCCAACTAATTTGAGTTGAATACCACTGGCCTACATAGAGCAGGAGGATTTAATATAATTGTTGTGATCCCACATGTGAACATGACAGGCATGCCAACTTGAGAATATAATAGACCCTGGAGGCATAACTTGCTAAGGCAAGAAGTTACATGAAATCAGGTCATTATGTCCTCCACTTGTCCTGATATGATTTCTAAACTGGAAAACATTCCAAAACATTAAAACAAGACCCTACGATCCACTGTGCGTGACCTCCAACCAATCATATTTCACTTACGATCAAAACGAGTCATCAGGAGTCTAAGATGTGTTTATTAAACCCTTTCTGAACATGTCCTATATAGCATCCAAAGTCTTTTAGCTGAAAACTGAATCAACTCACAGTGAAATAGTGACAGTAACAAACTCTGCAGCAGCGTTTGTTCTGGAACAATAAAACCTTGCTGTAGTCGTAGGTGCGACTGAAAATATTTCTCTTTGTGTGGCCTCTTTTGTTCTAAATCCATAAATAACTGAAACCACCTATGCTTTTGAAGTGAGACGTGCAGAAATGTTAATAAGCAGTAAGACATACAGTCGTACTTCCGGATTTATTCTCCCTCAGTAGCTAATTAAAAGACATCTTTTTGATCTTGTAATAGCTGTGCTTCTTGGGTAAACAAAGCAAGTGACAATGACACAGTAATGGATTTTAGCATTTCAAGAGCAGATAAAACTTTTTATCCATGTCTATTTTTAACATTTTTGTCTTGAAAAATAGGTATAAAAACGTATTTCAGTGCCTCTCCGTAAGAGTAAAAAAATAGTTTAGATTCTGACACTTTATAGGAACACTTTTATATAAATCTACTTCTTTGTTTTTCACCACAAAAAGCTTCGGTTTGACCCAACTGACAGGATGAGGCCTTGTAAGCTGAAATAGAAAATAGAAAATAAAATGGCAATGAGAAATAAATACAAATGTTGAGGAGGCTGACAAAACAGATGCTCAAACTACAACCACATGTTTTCATAAGTGCCTTGAGAAGACATTTGCTATGAATCGGTAATACATAAATAAAGAGAAATGACTTTATTTGAATTTATGAAGACTACTGGAACATTTTAAAAAGAATGCAACATGAACTAGCTTGTCATTGTGTTTTCCTGCTTTATCTGTTAACATGCTATAGGGGCTTGGCATTTCAAGACAACTAGTGCACCCATTTTGAAAATGAACTCTGTGTGTTTTGCTCTGTAAAAGAAGGCAGGTAAAGTTTCCACAATCCTAAACAATGTTGTTTTATAGTGAGCACAGAATGTGAAATTCTATTGTCTTGGGCTTCTTTTTTTCCCAAGACAACATTATTTAAGTAGCAGGCTGTGTACCTTCAGTTGAGAGTGAATAATGCCTTCAAATATTAGATAGTGTCACTTGCAGAGATGCATCTATTTACCGGCAAATATCCTGCATTTTGAACTGTGTGGATGGTCTCTCTCTCCCGTACGTTTCACAAGGTCCAGTGGACATTGTTTCTAGGAAGAATTTAAAATGCTGTTTTCATCTGAGTAATTATTCAAATATGCTAAAAGAAGATGAATCATACTTTTTATCTTTAGTATTTTTTTTTTGTTGGTTTCAATTTCTATTTAATCATGACCTCTTAGTCAAACAGTTGAAATAATAATTTACAGATAAGCCTGAAATTATTTATATCAGTGGCAAGTTTATGTTTAATTTAGTCTTTAAAATTTTGCAATGCATCTCTTTTGACTGGACGTAATATTAACGACTGTAAAGTCAATAAATACTTTCATTGTATTTCCTGTGTAAAACAAACTTGTTGGTTCAATATGAGTCTTCAATGGATAATGATTTTGAGCTTGACTTAATTTGTTGTGTTGGGTCATATAGATAAAATATGAAAAATTTTGTTCATATTCCTATTACACCCTGTATGCACTGGTTGTGGTCCCTTTTGCAAGGATTACTGCAGCTACATTGCAAGAGTTGCGTGGAGGAAATTAACTTGTGACTCTGAAAAGGCCTGGGCAGCTTAAATAGCCCGTCTGTGTTGTCATGTCTGGAGTCTTTCGTCTTCTTTTTGACAGTTCTGCATAGTTTAGGGTTTATATCAGGTGAGGTTGCTGACCAATCATGCACAGTATTGTCAGTCATTAAACCAAGTAACACAAAAAATTGCATCATTTTTCAATGAGGTTTCCTTCACAATCCCCTTAAGGCTGCAACAGTTAATTATGTTTGTTCATATGTTTAAACCAAATACGTTTTCCGTTCCTTTAAACTTCAAAAACCTGTAGACGCTATAGTCTGTGAACAGACAGTTTCTTAAACAATTACATGTTGCCATCTCACCAGCTTTCTTCATGATTATTGGCCAGCAGGGCATAATGTTTCTGTTATTATTTTTATTTATTTATTGGATATGTATAATATTTTTCTTTCCTCACGAAAATGCATTTGGGTTTGTATTAATTGTAAGCCGTATAAATAGATTAAAAAAATATTACTACTCTTTGAAAAATATATTTATTTAAATACAGTTTGAGTGTCTTCTAATCACACACCGCTTGAGGGAAAAAAACAAAAGACATGCAGATTAAGATCCACTCGGGATTACTAAACTCCTGGCCTATGAAGGGCTCACACTACACGGTTATGAAAACATACATTTCAATACCTTTCGTAACCTTTCAATTTGACGTTCTGGCTACGTCACAGTTTCTAAGCAGGTGGTTGAAGCACATCTCGCGATCGCTGGAATGTAACGTTGGAGTCAGGTAACCATGGAGACATTTCCCGAGTTAGCTAAACAGCTATTTGTTTGCTATGTACTGCTCTCTTACTTGCCAGCTATCGTATTTTGAGATATTAAACACTTAAGTACCCTTATTTATATTGCTTGATACGATTCGACCTTCAGAAACAGACGAACCATAAACGAATAATTTATTTTGAGCAAATTATTTGGGTGCATTTGGCTATTTGACGTGTCATTGAAATGTTCAAGAACAATTACCAGGTATTTGTTAGGCTTACATAGGTCACAGTTTGTTTGGTATTTAAATATTTGCAAGTTATATATTATTATTATTATTATTATTATTATTATTATTATTATTATTATTATTATTATTATTATTATTATTATTATAAAGTAGTAGTAGAAAAACAGGAGAAAGAGGAGGAAATAATAAATTCCTTCTATTTGTTGCAGGGGGGAGCTGTGTTTGATCTCTTCAGTGGACAAGGAAAGGACCCTGTAGCCAAATGGAAGCTTTGTGGGGGACCTTCGGCTATACATAAAGTGAGGTTTACAAGCAAGCTTCTATTTCTGCTTTTTTATTTACACCACAATCAATTTTAACAGGCCTATGTGTCCTCTAAGTCATGCTATTGTCGCATCCACACTACAGGGTTGCAGAAGCCATTCATGCAATATATGGTACAGTCTAATGTAGCATAGTGGAACAAAATACATCAGTGAGCACTATGCTAAGAAAAAAAAAAGAAAAATGTTATACAACAGCTCAATAACATAGTGTTCACTGCATAAGTGCCATATGGTGTCATCCTGATAAATCAGATCAGATGTTTGCTACATAGTTTTTGTGGAGGTCAGTTGCTTTTTTCATACAGAGCTGACAAATAATCTTACCTTCATTACAATAGACGCCAAGCAATACTGCCAACTAAACACTTTTTACAGCTGGAATTGATCTTGACACATAGACTTTATAGCTGAAGCCTCTTATATATGCTCCCATAAAAACCATTTGTTATCCCCTGGGGACATTTACACAACAGGTATACAGTCATACACGGAAAGGCCTCAGACTTAGTAAGACCTGTTCTGAATTATGTTCTCTCTTAGGAGTATAATAAAGAAGTTAAAGGATTTGTTTACTGTCTCGAGGGGAGCAGCCACACTGTCAAAATGCAAATGCCGAAGAATGCTAAGATGTCTCGTAAGTCAATATCATTCTTTTCATACATCCATCTGTAACATTATTTTTGTTTGGTTTTTAAATTTGCATGGTAATTAAAACTTTGTTACTTTGTCGCAGTTGGGCTTATTCAACGATTTTTGATCGTTCAAGTAAATATTTCAGAGCGGCATGACTTTTCTACTGAGCTTGTGTAAGTATATGTGAGTTTGAAATAATGTTTGTACATAATACAACCATGAAAATTCTTTTTAGAAGAAGGATGTTTCAGGAAAAGGATAATTTAAATAAAATAAAATAAAATATCAAAATTAATTTCAGCTATTCATTTGGGTTTACGTTATAGTTTTATTATATACAGAATTATATCTTTGAAGCATCTGCATTCTACATCTACAGCATCTAATTTTGATGATTACAGTTGACAGCTAAAATTATATTTCTTACAATATATTATGCAATTAAAAATGTTTAATGCAGAAATGTCGGTCGTCTGAAAAGTGTGGTCATGTATTGGACATTATAAGCACAAAATACTCTGGCTCTTCTTGCATTGCAGTGTGACATGAAGAGGACTGACTTTGATTCTGATAAAACACAGTAGACCAATACCAGCAGATCAGATAGCCACCCAAATATTCAATATCTGTGGAAACTTCCCACTGTATTTGATGAAACTTGGATTCTGTGCTCTCTACACTTCCTACTGACTCCTAGACTTTAATTTCTAAATGAAATGAAAAATGTACTTCAAAAAAATTAATCTGGAATAGTGCAGTCATTCCTTAGCCTAGGTAAAACTCTTTTGATATCTATGGTTTAGGGGTGTCTTTGAAACTAGGACTAGAACAGTTGTAGCCTATGTCCTGGATCTGTCTGTGTGTTGTGACTTTTAACGTGCCAAGTCTGGCTACAGCCCGTGCCTTGTGAATCTCCACAAAATTTGTTGCTTCACAATCCTCTCAAATGTTGGTTATCCCTGTTCTATGTGCACTTTTTTCTATTGAACTTTTTTCCTTCCACACAACCTTCCACACAAATGCCTTGATAGTGATGACCTTTTTGGCTTACTTTTCTTATTTGATGTGTCAGCAGCAGTCTGCTGGACCACCAGAGGCAATGTGTCCACAGTCTTCCTATGACTGGAAGACTGTGGACATTATGGTCCTTACATAATATTTCTGAATTCAGATTTTTTTTTATTATTGTTATTGCTTCATATTTTTTGGAAAAACAAAGTTTTGGTTTGTCTAACTGTAAGACATTATCATCAAAGTGAACAAAAAAAGAAGTTCACTCTATGTGTAGTTAGTAAATATAACATAAATAAATACAGTAAATAAACTTTTTAATGAAATTCCTATTGACTGACATGTACCTGTAGCCCTATAGAGGACCAAGACAGCTGCTCTATTAAAGTGAAGAGATCTTTAAGAAGTCACATTGGATACCAATAAAGCTTAACATATGTATAATCAGAATCTCCTAGTGACACACTTGCAGTGGGTGATAATTTATGTGCTGTTGTGTTATCTGCTTTAAACAGGATAACGGATTTACAGCATCTTAAAAGAAGACTTTGCTTTTCAACAGTGCATAAAGAGATGTCTGCCACACTTTTGCACGCAAAGATACCTTTCACAGAGCTGAAGCGGAATACTGTGAGTATGTAATTCATGCTTTATGCATTCATTATTAATTTTTAAAAGCACTTTTGGCTATGTACTTTTTTATCTTTTTCATGTTTAAATGTAAGCTGAACTGTATCACTAAAAGCCTAAAATTATGTTGTATTCTGCTGTCTCAGTGGTCTACTTTGTGCATCGACCTCGAATCTTTCGCTAGTGGACTTTTCAAGGGATTTTTGACTCTGGATGGCATCACTTTGTTTGCTACCTGTAAAGTTCGGAGGATCTTCACTATGAAAACAGACCCTAAAATCATGTCAGGTGATACTGATGCTTTTGTTTATTGGTTACATGTTACCCTCATGCCATCTGCATATCTGGTTATTTGACTAACTGCATTGAAGGAGTCCAGTGTTCCCAGCTTGAAGCATTGTTTTCAGTGAGTGTGTGTATGCGTGCACATCTTGTGTATTTATGGTGAAGTATAAGAATAGATTTGGAAACAGTTTGCTGTTTTTGTTGTGATGGTTTGCTGAAAGCTTATTGGTAGATTTAGTGAAAATGCAAAATAGTAGCAGGTGCAAAGATGTGGCTGGCCAGTACTGTTTTTTTTTACACCACGCCACTAATTTGTTTTTTGTGACATGATAATATGTCACAATGATATATTTTGGCCTGTTTTGCCAAAAATATCCCCACATTTTGTTAGAATTTTTCCGACATTGCATATTTTTTTCTATTGCAGACACATTTCTTAATGGGGCTTGTCTCATGGAGATGATCCCTCGCAGTTTCTGGTACCCTTCAGATGTGAACCAAATTACTCACGTGCTGAACTATGAGAATTTGCAGAAGGCCGAAGTGAAGTCTGATCCTCTTAGCTCAGCCTCTGGTAAGTAAGACAAAACCCCGGAATTGAAATGAGTCAGTGCAAAAGCAAAAGCTCTAAAACAATCCATTTCAATTAAAAATGACATTAGATTATTTAACAGGACAAAAAAACACAATAGAACAGATTATGCTCATCGTCATAGTTTTATGTGCTTTATGCGGCGGACTTTGCCTGCTCAGTCAGTGGTATTAGGCAGTTGGCTCTGCAGCTGCAGTTTGAGAAGGCCCTTTTATTGTTTCAGCTTGACTTTACCCCATGCACAAAGCAGGTGTAAGTTTTATGTGGAGCTTATTTTTCTTCCTGAAATCTTAACCTAAACCTTGTTTTGCTATGAACTGGCGGTGGATGGAGAGGTTGGCCCTTATCTTGAGCATCAGTACCTGACTACATCCACTGGTCTAGTGAAAGAAATCCCTGCTGCCTGAAGAGATTTATTTGAAGGAAAAGGGATGTTATTTCAGAAAAAATAGCAATAGTGACATGCTCCACATCTATAAATAGTATGATGAAGGTATTTCCATGATACATCTAACCATCTTATGTAACCGGAATCCTTGGAGCACCATGTGGGCAGGTGGGGGTTTGCTGCCATTTGTGGTTATCGGTAGAGAGTTAGTACAAATTGGACAAGTCATCAGTAAATCATGGAGCAAGACACCCTAGACAGTATGTGCACAGTCATACCTTTGCATACTACAAATTCATAAGACAAGACGTAGCAAAGCTTGTCAAATTTATTTGTACAGCAACATTCAAGATAGTGTTTATTTCTTTACAGCAGAATAAACATAGGAAATCGCATTGAGACAAGTGGTACAGTTAAGTCCAAAATTATTAAAGCTCTTATCTGATTTACATGTTATGTAATCTTTTAATTTTGTCAACATTCCTCTTTAGACAGGAAGTAATATTTGAATTACTTAAAATATTACTTTACTATTTGAAGTAATATTACTCTAACATCAGACGTTCAGCTCATTACCAAAGATAAACCATCAAAATACAAGTTGGAACATGAAAAACTATGGGTGCTAATTATAACAAGGGTTTTCTGTGATGCCATTATTGATTTTTGAGAAGGATATGAAGAGTTTTTTTTTTTTTTTTTTTTTTTACATTTTTTTTGTTTTACATTTTACTAATATATATCATAAGACAATGTAAAAAAAAACTGCTAAAATGTTTTTTAATTGATTCCCATGTTATATTTTTTTGTTATCTTTTGAGAGATTTATTTGTCCTGTCAGCAAGCATGTATTGATTGAATGAAAATAGATAATAAACTATATAGGTGTATAAACAATTTTGGTTTAATGATAGTAATCTCTGTCTTTGTGTCTTTTGATTAAAAACCAATGACTTTTTTCTTGTTTGCCTTAACCTGGAAGAAGGTTAAGGTTAAGTTAAAGATATGATGCCTAGAGACTGTAAAAGACCATTTTCATTTGGTGACAAAAAATATTAGCGTAATTAAAATAAATATAAGTCAGTGGTACACATATAGATGATGAATAATAGAAATCCTATTATGAAGATGTGATTTTATTTTGTTTCAAATTTCTAATTGGAATTTAGGAAGTAGTCCAAGTATAAAATAAAGTTGTCAAACTTTAGGACCTTTACATTTTCTGAATCACATGACTGGCATATATCTATGGGAGATGTAGCAAAGATGTTGCTTTGAAAAAAACATTCCAATGTCAGTTTGTGTCATTAGAGTAAAGCTGATAGACAGATAATGCATTTATATAGAGAATTGCATATTTATAATAACACTGATCATAACCATTTTGCTTCTTCTTGTTTGAAATTCTTTTATTTCTCATTTTTGTGTTTATTTCGATCTTACCTGCTCTCGAGAAGCTGCAATTATCTCCTCATACTGAAAGACATGCACCAGTAATCCAGTTCTGTTGCCTTCGTGGCCTTTTTTATCGGCGTATATTTATTTGTTCTGACAGCTGTCCAAGTCATGTTGAATCAAGCAGCATTGCCCTTAGATGAGAGCAGTAACCACACACGGGAGAAATCTTTTCATAAGTAGCATCTACGTTATTAACACAACATACCTAATCATAATTAAAACGATTGCTATTAAAGTAGGCGTACAATTTAACGGGGACAGAGTTGTTTGTTGAATGCATTTCCTTCAGTACCCAAACTGTCAAGAACTGTTACAAGGAAGGCTAAGTTTTTTTTTTGTTTGTTTTTTGGGGTGGGGGGGAGTTTGTCATGTGACAACAAACAATGCCTGTTTATCTCAGTCCTACACCAAAGACTCTTTGTTGCGCTGAAGGTCAATGAATTTTCACAGATCCAAATCACTGTTGAAACTACTTCTCCAGAGCCAGCTATCATACCTATATCTCATTGTAATCCTTTCTGTTATCCCATTCTTTATGGGCTTTTGCAGATTTGAAGCACACTGAAATTTATTCACACAACAGGTACAGCTCAGTGTGTTCCATCTGCTGTATCAGAGAAGTGTGATTTCCTCTTTCCTTCTTAGAACATCCAGCTAAGCTCGGGCGGTATCATGTTGTCGATCATGTTTGTCTTGCGGACTGAAAGTGTTTGCTCGGCGCTTTGATGAGGATCAGATAGAACGTGTGTTTTGCTGTTAGCTTCAGCAGAGGTGGTCCTGATTAGCCCTGGCACAGATACAGCAAGGTCAGGTTGATGCCATATCAGAACAACTCCCACTTCAGACCATTATTTTCACATGATGAAATGGCACTGATAGCCAGAAACACATCTTTCAACTCTATTAGATAAACTCCAGTTTAACTGAAATCCAGTTATTAGGTGTTTGTGTATCTTTATGCATAAGTGCTATTTAATAGAGCTATTAGCTGATGAAGACAGGATCATCCGTATCATGAAATGCTTTAAGTTTGTTATTGGGTAGTTTACAATGTTTTGCATCCTAAAACATATGCCTGTATATAAGCTAAACATCTCTGTTTTAAAAGTTTTTTTTTCCTTCAGTCACAGTGAAAAAATAAACTTTTAATAGGCCTTGTTACCAGACAAAACACTGCTTCTCTCTGACCTTAAATAGACCATTCTGTGCACCAATAAGATGTGGAAATTTCTTTCTTTTTGCAGTACCTGATCAGTCTTCCACTGCCATATCAACTAGTTATCGGAGAACCAAGCCCCAGGGTGTTTTACAGACAGCCGCGGGCTCCAGAGCTTCTTCAGCATCTCCAAATACTGGAAGAACAAGCATTGCAAACTTGGACAGAATGGAGAGAAGTGTATGCTTTATTTACATTACTGTAATATATCTCATCCCAGAGGAAAGTGGACTTAAAACACATTGCTAAAATAGCTAAGGTTCTCTTTGTGCTCTCGAAACAGCTGTGGCCCTAGAGGCATGAAATCAGAAACCCTCTTAGGATGCTCAATTGGTAAAATACCCAGCATATAGTTTCTTAAAAATCTGTTCTGTATAATCTGAGGGCTGGATTAGTGTCACTTTTTCACCACTTAACTTACCAATAAAAAAAGTTCTGTTGAAATAAAATGTGGAATTGTTGAATACTTCAAAACGTTTAAACTATTTCAGAAACATTATTCAGATGAAAGAGAGCACACTGTGGAGAAAATTGTGGTCATGTTAATTCAATTTGGAACAATGTTAAGCCAAGCAGTAATATCAAACATCAACTTGTCTGCTTGCAACCAATGTTTTCCATCTGAACATTACTTAGAATACAAGATTCATATTTTCCCATCATATTTTCACATAGTATCCCTGCTTAAATCCAACCCACAGTTGCATGCTGACTATTTGTACACCCTAATTTTAAGGGATATCGATCACATCCAACTTCTGTTACTTCAAGAACGGGTTTAGAGATTTCTGTTGTTAGTCTGGTAGTTAACAGACACAGTGTTCTTTGTGGTCAGCTTGTGAAAGTTCAGTCAGGCATTGTTTGTCTGAATAATTTGGAAACCAAAAGAATCCCATCTAGGCCAACTTCTGGTTAAAATGACTATAATATTTGCAATCCTAATAGTTCTATTATCTTTAAAGATACACAACCTAAAAAAATAACACTCTTGTGTTGCCTCTTAATATATTGGATACCCCAGCATACACAATGTGAGCTGCATCCAATCCAAGCTACCATGGGTATTTTAAACATGCAGAAAACTCCTCAGGCATTGTACATATCAAAAACCATATTTGCCATTACTACAACATTTAAGCGCTGCTGAAACATTATGACATCTCATTGTATGCCATGCATGCCAGGAAAGCTGTTTCCGGGAATGAAGAATCACTCAGTTTAGCCTGTGGAATGCTTCGAGTAGCTAATATCAGAGCAGACTTGACTCTGTCCATTTGGTAATCTGTCTGATAAGTGTTTCACTGCTTGTGGGCACACAGTGATTGTGTATAGTGAGCAAAAAGTACTGTTCAACCCATGTAAAACATGTTTTTAGATATGTTACCATATGTGGCAAATTAAGAGGTAATGCAGCAGAATCTTAAGTTTCAGTCCAAACAATGTGTTCTCAAATATGCACAGACTCCTTTCTGCTTTATCTAATATTCTGGATTTCAAGAATGACTTGCTGCCACCAGAAAGTCCTTCCATTTTTAAAAAAGACAGTATGTTGTGACCATGTCTATTAGAGCTATAAGTAGTGCTTCAAGCACTTTGTAGATTAGTAATTCTAGCTACTCAGACAAACCTTCACTGTAAAACATGTCACAGAGCCTCGAACCACCCTGACCCCTTCAGAAGGGAATAACCTTCTCTGGGCAGCTTCCAGTGGGCATTAAACATGTAATATGGTTAATTGCCTGCGTTTTGCATAAGGCTTTGCGCAAATCGATGTAGATCTTTGTGAATTATCTGTGTCATTAGAGTACAAAAATGTAGGACAATTGTGTTATTGAGCCTGTACCGTATGTATCTTTTGATATTGTACCACAGGTTTCTCCATCATGTAGACTGAATCAAAAGGAGCCCACTGAGAGCCAGCATGTCACCATGCTTGGTGAGCATTTCTCCCAGGGTCAACAGTCCCTTACTACAGTAAAAGGTAAATCTGAGTATATATCAAACTGTTGTTTTATTTTCTTTTTTTTTATTGAACACTTTCAACAATTTTGAATGCCCTTGTTCTGCTATTTCATCTATCAGGATCTCTGTTTTTTTTAACCTTTGTGAGCGTTGTTGTGTACTTGCTCAAACTAACAACTCAGGATACAGCAGTCAATACACAATGATGTTTGTAACACAAAAAATGGAGAGAATCTAGATCTGTCAGGGTACAGTTGGTTGTCAGTAAAATGAAAAAAAGTAAGAAACAATCATGAAAGGTTTCACATGGTCCTTGAAAAATGTGTATACCCAAAGAGAAAAAGAAATAGTTACTGATGTCACTGCTGCCATAATGTATGCCATAATGATGTTGGATTTGCTGATGCCTATAATTTATTTATCTTAGTAATTTATCCAAAGTGTCAAATTAACGTCTTCTTACCCTTTCTCACAATACAACAAAAGCAAAATGAACTTTCTCTGAGATAATGTGAAACTGGCTAAAATTTGATATGTCCCCGATTAACAAAAGCAAGATTTTGCATTTGATTATAGGTTAACTTTTGGTGCTTAGTTAACTTTTTCAAATATTTAAACAGGTAGTAAAATATAGTATCTTTATTATTTCGTGGCAGCCTCTTTTGCTGCAGTCACTGTCGTAAGTGTTCTCTGTACTTCACAACATAAGACTTGACTTGACTTGCCAAAAAGCTCCAGTTTTGTCATTTTAGTTTAAAGAATATACCCCAGAAACTTTGGGCCTTGTCAACATGCATAATAGCAAATGGCATAAAGTTGTCTTTGTTGGATGTCCCTGTAAGTGGTGAAGCTTTTGTAGATCTTCTTCATGACTACTCATTATGGATCAGAACGTATGAGATGATTTGGCATAGCTTGACTTTGCAGTTTAGCTTGGCTCTTTTCTACCATTTGGACTATCGACCCAAGATTACATTTAGTCTTGCTTCTAGTGACAGGATCATGTTATGTGCTATAGCTGTTTGAGATCTTTTAGTAGCCCTTAATAGATCTTCTGAGCTCTCTCTGGTTCATGTTCAGCATGGTGCAAACAACACGAAATATTCAGCAGCACTTTTGTTTCTTTTAACCCTTGTGTCTAGAAATGGGGTCCAACCAACCACACACACGTAAAACCTGTATCATTTGCCACAGTCCTCTACGTTTGCCTCAGTCCTCGCACGCACGAGGGTTACATAGCTAATAAAATGCTTGATGGCAAACGTGATAGTACTCAAGGTTAAACACTTGGTTTAAAACCTGACTGTGATACAATTATTCATCGTTTCTTTTGGGGAGCTGTTGCATCTCTAGCCAGAAACGATTGGCAACTGAGACTGATGGTTCCTAACTTTTTTGGCAGATTTCGTTAGAAACACATTATAAGAAGTAAAAAATAATAATAATAATAATAATAATAATAAACAAACAAAAGAAAACCAAATAAGGACTGCAAAAATACTGCATACATTTCTCTTTTGGTACAAACCGATCTTAAATTTTATTGCACTGGGAAACGCAAAAAGAGAAAACATCATTAAAAAAATGTCCATAAGTTGGATTTTATTTTGTTTCTTTTAATGTATGAAAAAAATATCCAGTCATAAACTGCATTGGGATAATAATGCATTTCTGACTTATAAGCACCACTTTTGACATTTATTAAACATAAACAACTGCAGTTTGCATTACAAACAAGGCTAAGCTAGTTGCTAAAGGTATACAAGCCCAGGTAGGCAAGGCTATCCAAGTAAAGTAATTGCTTTATGAAAACACACTTTACATGCACAAACCACCATATTTTTCATACCATAAAAATATACTGTATTCATCCTCTGTATTAAAAAAAGTCTTTCCATAAAGCTTAACCACCTTTCAAGCATACTTGAAATGTACATTTTTTTTTACCATTTTTAAATATCTATATGCCAGCTTTTTCTCTCTAAGCATTATTTGAAATACTTGACTTCAATACAAAAGCCCTCAGTAAAATTGCTATCCTTAAGATAAATAAAAAGGTGTATAGAAGGCAATGAGTTAAGGTAACACATTTATTTATACTATTTTAGACAAATTAAAGAGGGAAATAAAGCATTGTTTCAAGAAGCTCTACTGATACCTACAAGTTTGTCAACATATATATATATATATATATATTATATAGTGTAAATCTGTGGACTGGTCATTGAAAAAGAAAATCTGAGGATGAACCCATTCCCTGTCATTGTTGGCGAGCACACGTACACCCTTGACATATCTACAGTAATAGGATGAATGTAAAAAATATTAAAAGAAAGTGTCACTGACTTTGCCACTGCTAGGAATCTAGATAGCTTTGGCTCATTACATGGCATCTCCTGTGGCAGAGAATCTTTCTAAGAAAATGATTCAGCTTCTTCCAAGCACTGTGCCCTTTCAGAAGTATTATAGGGCAACAAAAAATAAGCCCTGTTTCTGCAGAGTATGAAGTCTCTCGAGCATCCAATAACAGCCTTTATGATTGGTAATACACTATCCTTTCAGCACGACTGAATGCAAAATCTGGCTGATTAAAATTCCTTAATTCAGCCGAACATAATGTAGCTGGATATATTCTTTTTGCAATGAATGAATGTAAGAAGCTCAGTTGCCGAAATGCCTTCATTATTAGGGATTTTCACGGTGCATAATCAGTTCACAGATACGCTTCTGGCAAGCTTTAATAACATTGTTGTTTGAATCTATTGTTATAAACCATTTTCTGATGTTCAAATTATTATTTGTAGGAGAATCTTGCAAATTACAACCCCACCCGCCCAAACAAAGGGTGTTTGGTAAGCAGGGATCTAAGAAGTTACGGATCCTGAGTTCTGGAAGAGAGAGGGTATCATCAGGTACATTATATGCACATATCAGTGTTTTGTATTGTGTTTTTATTTGGTTAAGAATTAACTATTTGGTTATATCCCCCAGATGCTGAATTTGGTAGTAAAAGCAGTGGAAGGAGGGATAATAGCCCTTTTCCATCCAGTCACACAGAGAGCAGCCAGCAGCTTCAGACTCAAGAACAAAAGTCATCCAACCTAGTAATGGGTAAGGTAAAATAAGAATGATGTGAATTTTAAGACAAAGCAAAAGTCACGGTATCATAATAAGACAGTGAGGGATGGGAACATAAAAAAAAAAAAAAAAAAAAAAAAATTGATATGCAGGTTGGATGGTTTTGCATGTTCTGATTTTCCTAGACAGCTCCTTTATACTTGAGAAAAATAGTCAGTGCCACTCTTTAGATAATTCATAAATTAGATCACTTCAAAATATTGCATGAATTTTAATGCTTCTATGCTGCATATGTGCTTTTGTTCCCCCTTTTAAATTTTACATAACCCACATCAGGGCCACTTGCATGACCCTCCTCTCTCCAACCTGTGCTCTCTTCCCCATCGCCATCCCCCCACGTAACCCTCATCCTCACACACCCACACTCCCATTGTCCTTGCAAAACGAGTGCATGTGTTCTGAGAGCTCATTTATGGAGGTTTCTCCACAAGCAGTAAGCTCCTTTGGTGCAGCCCTGCCCACAGATGGAAAGTAGTTAGTTCATTAATGGTAATGTGGCACATTAAATAAAAGTCAGAGGGACATCTCCTGGGCCCAGGGTTTGCCACACAGTGGGCAATTAGAGGAAGTGATTATACTGTCGAGAGGTTCAAATGTGCTCACTCATTCAGATTTAGGTGCCTCTGTCTTTTAACTGAGGTTTATCTTGGAGAATAAAGATTTGCCGTGTCTTATTTGCACTTACACATTGAAGAAACTTTCATTTAAGCTTGCAAAAGCTTTTTCTCCCATTGATTGTGCATATAGTGCCTTGCAAAGGTATTCATATACCTTGATCTTGTTTACACTACACCCACAAGCTTCTGGATAATTTTTGATGATTTTATATGATAGGCGAATGCAGAGTAGTGTCTTTTTTTATACATTCTAATTAAATACTTTTATTTACAGAGGGCATTTGGCCCTCTGTACTTTGATACCCATATTTCAAACTCAATACAACCAAATAATTATTTCACACAATGTTAAAACAGGGCATTACCTTGAACAGACATTCTACATCATTACATAAAGCGGTGGCAGCATCATGCTGTGAGGAGCCTTTTTTCAGCTGGGACCTGAAACTCCTTGCTGAAAAGGGACTGATCAGATGAGATGTGAAGATTGGGGGATATACTAATGGAAGAAAGCCTATTGGAGGCTGCGAAGGACTTGAGACTGGGGTGGAGGGTCCTGAGTCAGCAGGAAGAACCTAAACACACAGCCAGAGCAAGAATGGAATGGTTTAGATGGCATATTCATGTGTTAAAATGGCACAGTCAAAGTCCGTATCTAAATACAATTGAGAATTTGTGACAAGAGTTGAAAATTGGTGTTCAAAGATGTTCCCCATTCAATCTGACTGAGCTTGAGCTTTTTTGGAAGCACAGGCAAAAACTTGCAATGCTGTTGTTGAAATGAAAAAAAAGAAATAAAAATTCTGCAATGCATTGACTTAGTGAGGCCTAATATATACTCAGCACACACCATAGCTGTAGTTTTATTCATATTTACATGGTTACCTCATTCAGAGATTTCTATAACAAATACATGAAAGGGATCTATTTGTTATAGATAGAAGGTAGACTTTATCTATGGCCACAAATGCCAGGAATGAAGGCAGACTTTTCCAGGCAGAGAAATTAATTACAACCATGCATACTAGTATCAAATATTGCTAAGTGACTATTAGCAATAAGAATAGCATCTCACCATCTTGAAGGGGATGTTCTGTTCATAGAGAAATTACTCATCAAAAACAGCTAAGGAGTAAAGTAACTCAAACGCATGTGTATTTATAATTCTAGATGAGCAGAGCTGCAGCCCCGCCAATGCAAGTATGGAAGCCACCCCCACACCAGTGGAGACTCAACTTCGATCAGGTTTGTCTTTTGACCCGGAGGTCTGGAACAGCCGGGAGAGTAATGAGGGGTCCGAGCCCCAGCTCACTTTGCAGAAGGAGGTGTTCACTTTCTCATCCCAGCCTCACTCACCCAAGCGAGGGCAAAGCCAGGTTGACCAGGAGAAGATGGATCTGGGAGACGGTCAGGCCCAGAGCACTGGTGGGGGGCGGCGGCAAGCGCAGCCTGAAGACGACTTTATCGGCAGTGAAAGCGATGAGGTACGTCTGTTTCTTGTGAGCCACAGAATCACAAATGTTTAATGTGCTTTCCGTAATACCAGATAACTAATTACAAGCAGAAGAACATCTGCTTTGTGTCACAGAGAATAGTATTCTTGACAGCCTCGCAATAGATTTTAAAGCTGCCCTTGCCATTTTTTGCCATGCAACATAGTTGAATTGTTTCAAGCATGACTGACCCACGTTAAGTCCTACAATATGTTTAAAGTTAAATTAAGTTTACTTTGTTGTAATTTAAGACATTGACATCATCACTTGTAAGAACCAGAAGTAATTGTGTGTTTATCATTTGAAGTGAAGAGTTTGCTGTTGCACATTTCAGTTCAAAAGTCAAAGTTGTTCATCATCACATTGTATATTAATCACTCTGCTATTTGTGTTAAAGGGCAGGATTTTTTTATGCTAAGCAGGGGAAATTAAAACTGTAGAAATAAAATCATGAAGACAAAAATGCTAATTGCTTTTACTTATTTAAAACTTGGTAATAAGTCTGATAATTCACAGTTAAGAACTTTTTTGTTGTGCAGCTGGTCTTTGTCATTAGAATACCGGAGCCGGTTTAAGCATACAGAAAAAATTCTAGAGCACATGCATACATCAGAAATCAGGTACTCACTGTCTTTGCTAAACCATTAGTAGGACATTTTAATACTTCAAAATAAGTGAATCTTTTATACTGACCTTTTTGAACTGTAGGTATAACATTTTCTTCCATAAAACTTTTAACTGAACTGAAATTTACTTTTAGAATTCCCTTTCTAGTCAGACTTGAAAAGGTTTTTACACTGCCTTGCAAAAATATTTATTCCCTTTTATTTTTTCCCCAGTTTGTCACATTACAACCACAAGTTTAAGCATCTTGTATGGGGATCTTATATAATAGTTCAATAAAAATTAGTGCATAATCTTTAGATGGGAAGAAAATTATACATGTCCTTAAAACGTACAAATAAACATTTGAAATGTTGATATTAAGCTCCCCTGAGTAAATCATTTGTGGATTGATCTTCTACTGTATTTGTAGCTGCAAGGCTTTTGAGATATTTATTTTCCAAACTTGCTTTTTTTTTCTATTTCTCTTTGCAAAATAGCTTAAGTTGAGTCAGAATAGAGTATACAGTTGCAAGTCTTGCCACAGACTGTAAATTTGATTTAGGACTGGGAGTTTCTGGGCTCATTCTAACACATGTATATGATTTGATCTAAGATGGTGGTTTTGTGAGATGGTGTTACTAGGATTAAAATACTCACGGGTGAACTCTGCTAACTAGTTAGTTGAATTCAGAAGGCAATTACCATAGTTGGACTGGATTTCATTTAGGGGTATTCGAGTTAAGGGAAGCACTACTTTCTGTTGATTTATTACAAATAATCTAATATTGTGCCTTGGTTTACCTTTAATTATTTGTGAAAAAGGTTAATGGGAAATTAATGCAATGCTTTGGTAAGGCACTGTATATCTAATACCCCTGCATCGAGGTGGAAGTGGCCAGTCCTCTTCAAAGCTGTAAATTTACATAATGTATCCATAATGTCTTCTGCCACATTTATACTTTATGATAAGTTATCTACATATATTATAATGGAAAGCAAGCTAAAAACAGTATAAATGCAAAGAAAGAGATCAGTATAAGTGTTTGCTTTGTATGTGGGGAAGAATCACATGGTATACTCATGCGCAAACTCACTCTGCACACCCACACACCCTCTCACAAACACACTTACACACCCACATGGAGACAGGTTGTTAGAGGAAAGCATCTTTCTCTCTATGCAATCAAATGATCATGTAGCCTCTTCGTTGAATCTGTCTGAACACTTCAAAAGAAAAAGAGCACTTCAAAGGAAACAAACACCGCTGTACGAGCGGACGCCCTGAGGTTTTCAAAATACAGTATCGTGTTTCGTATGTAATTGTTTTTTTATCTGCTGCTGTTTTTGTATTATTGATGCATCTATTATTGCAGAAAACATGCCATGAACATAAAAAAAACACAAACAATGCCTCAGAAATCCTGACCGATTTAGAAAGTAAAACTTTGTGTAAGTTATCGAAATTTTCCACAAGAACATTTAAACACTTTTGTGATCTGTGAAGATCATTAGCACAATGAAAAAAAGATGTATATTTCCCAATGAAATTAGACAAACTAAGTATTTCACATGCATTTAATACTAAAATATTATTTGACATTGTTGCAGGTCTGTGTGTTTAAATTTCACATTTTTATAGCTGGTTAAATATAACACACAAAATGTGTACAGGTGTCAACATTTTGGAGTACAGTTCTGCAAACTATGCACAACTTTTAATAAAACTAATGAAACCTCTCTGGATTGGGCATATTATAGCTAATATAACTGATAGCCTGTTTTAAGGGCTTTTGTTTGCTCAGTCAGTTAGCTTTGTTACAGACATGTAAGTGAAACAGTGTTGCTTTTAATGTAACAAAGTAAAAACCCAACATTTCTCTCATGCACTCAGAAACCTTGCTATATTGGTCTAAGTACCTTTCAGTCCTACTCACCTAGTAATTCACATGCAACCTTCCTGAGCCTCAGTGATGGCTACATAAGCACCGGTGAGTGAGACATAAGAGGTTCTTGATAAAGTCACATAAAGGAGATTTGTTAAGAACAACACTGACAATTCTGTGGAGCTAGTTAAAGAAAACGTTGAAGTATTTTGACAATTACATTTTGGTAAAACCACAAATGAAAAAAGTTAGACAGAAGGAAATTAGATAACTACTTGGGGCTAGTTTTTGCTTATAGTGATCATGTTTTAGTGGAACTTGTAATAATATACCGTAAGTAATTCAAGATAGATGTGCTAGGCCGTTATTTTAGAAAGGTGATAATACACAGACTTGTACAAAATATGAACATTATGTTGTTTTTGACCAATAGCTTTACATTTAGTGACTAATGTCCAGGCTAAAGATGTTCAGAGTTACTAATTTATTGATGCCAAAGCTTTTAACAAAACAAAGGTTTACATTTATAGTTAGTACTTTGCACATTTCCATATAATGTGGGTATAGATGTTGACACGACATCATATTTCAGTCTCTGATGTTTTTTCAGTTTTCACCATGTGCATCTGATCATTCTTTGAGTTAAACATTTTGACACTGTGTTTTGTGTGTTGGAGTTTTTAGACATTTTGTTTTCTGAAGTTTGTTTTTTCTGTTTATTTTTCTTTCATCTTCTACTATGCCTTAGCTTTTCTAGTCCTATTGTTTGTTTGCTATAACTTCCGTTGGTATACTTTTCATTTTGTCTCCATCAGTCAGTGTTATGGTGCAGTTGTAATAAAATGTATTTACTCTTGTTATCCTGCTTTCTGGGTTCCTGAACTTTCTGTTGTTTCATGCATGATGTTTCCTGGCACTTCGGTCCTGTTAGTTTGGAGGAGATATAACGCAGCTGATAATGCTTTTTTTTTTTACTTCCAGCAGTGATCTCCGCTTGTTAGTCCTAGGTTTTGGTCATCCACTTTTAACATTGTCTTTGAAAAGAAAGATCGTTTGTTTCATAACAAGAACAGGCATAGAAGTTTGACACAATCATAAATGCTCACATTTCAAAACCAATGAAAAGTGAGTACTTGCAACTTCATAAATAGAAAAATCAGACACCCTTTTCTATGTTTTTTTCTGAAAAGGCTGATCTCAAACTAGACTTGATTTCTAATCATCAAAAAGCCAACTAAAACCTACGCTTGACTCTAACACGTTTTACCCACAACTATATGTTTTCATAGGAATCCACACAACGTCAACAATATTAACTGAGACAAATATTCTTTCCTGTAATACTGCAAGCAACTGTGTTGCTACCCTGTCAATATTATTAAACCGTATGTTTATCCATCCAACGGAGGTCAGCCTGATTTTGATTTTTATTCATTTGTCGGTTGCTCTTTTCTGAACTTGGAGCATTATTATCTTTCAAAGTGTTGCATCAGGTTCAAGCAACTCTCTTGAGCAGACATTGGTTTTTAAACAGAGAGAAATATTAAAAGCAGAACAAAGCAACAAACTTTCCGCATATGAAACACTTTGAAATATATCAGAAACAATGGGCCAAGGTAAAGTTTGTTATAATTTCAGCGGAAAGCAGTTGTTTTGATGTAAAAATACCTCAAACAATGGACAGCGGAGCAGCTCAGCAAAGCTCATTCATGCTTGCAGACACGCCCATATCCGGCCTTTCAATAATACATGTATTTCATTGTTTATTCACCTGAACTTATGAAAATGATAAAGCAAAGAAAGCGAGTAGAGAAAATAATATGTGGAACCACTGAGCGTCAAACCTCCAGGGCCTTATGATAACATTTCACCCTAAACAATCCTAAGAGATGAAGGACAATAGAAGGAAGCGATATAGTGCTGAAGTTACACTAGGAGGACTTAATTTGAGAGAAATAATGCCTATACAATGAGCCTAATAAATGCACATATGCTAGCAATCAGTCTAAATGCATGCAATAGCTGTGACTCCCTCTTTTGTGAAGAACTTGCAGAGGCTGGAGAGAAAAATGAGAGGACACATAATTAGAGAAACATTGGTTTTAGGCTGGGAATTCTCAGTACCACTGAAAACATGGTTTATTAAAATATAAATAGAATTTGATGCATCTATTCATCAAGTTAGGATATTAAATCAATGTCAGTTTGTAACCAATAGTGCAGAATAACACTAAATTAATGCTCCACAGAAAATCTATGCTTTCGATATGAAACATTCATGCAGTGTAAGCTTGAACAGTGTGTCTCATGTGTGTAGCTTGCTCCTTTGAGAACGACAGAAGCTGTTGTCAGCTTTGTCTCACAACCCCTGCAATAGATTTTTTTGTGGCGACCCAGTTGTACATTGAGAAAAAAACTATCAATAGAAGGGAGAGAAATTTTCCATAACCCTTTCTGCATAATTACTGAGGTTTTGTCCAAGAAAAGCATCTGTATTTAACGTCTGTTGGCCTTGAATGAGTTAAAGAGTACATGTTCTCATGGGTTTGCTAACCTGTGTTGCTACATATCTGAACAAACAATACAATGCTTGTCTTTAGTGTACAGTTGTACAGTGGTCATCTGATCTAGATAGCATTTTTTGAGGAAATTTATGTCAGAGTTTTAATATCCTTTTCTTGTGCTGTGAAACTGGGTCACATTTTGAGTTCTGTGCTGTTAATTCAGCTGCCATCCCCCAGTCAAACTTTTTAGCATCATGCATCTTTGAAGCTTGCTGGGGTAACTTTTGGTATTCAAAATTGTGGTTTCTATGAGTTTTCCTTCAGTGCAGAAAAAAACCATATCCAGTGTCCTATATTACACAAGTCGGCACAGATCTATAGCTGGAGTGTTGAGAGCTAACTCTAAATCTCATAGTTTTGCAGATTAGCACATTTAAGCCTTTTGGAATGTGACATCAACTAAAAAGAATTGTTGAAGTGCGTTTGTAATTGTATTTATTTGTTTGCATATTTATGAACGCAGGTTTTGTTAAAAGGTCATAAACATTGAATGTGTTACCACGAGTACAAAACCTTATTGGTGTCAGTTGTATGAGTCCAAATTGGTGGATGCCTGATCCAGTCTCAGAACTATCAGCATATTTACCATTAAATCTCTTCTAGCATGCTGGTGTAGAAGGAAAGAGAAATGGAGTAGGAGTTATCCTGCAGGAGGAGTTTGATAGGAATATTCTGGAAGTGAAGGGGGTGTCAGATGGGCTGATGAGACTCAAAATTGAAGGTGTGATTATAAATGTTGTTAGTGGTTATGCCCTACAGGTAGGATGTGTATAAGAAGAGAAGCAGCAATTCTAGAGTGACCTAGAGTGATGCAAAGTTGAGAGAATGGTGATTGGTGCAGACTTTACCCAACATGTTTAAGGGAACAAAGGTGATGAGGAAGTGATGGCCATGTTTGGTATACAGGATTTCTTAAAACCCTGTATACCAAACATCTCATAAAATACTATTCTCTTGCTCAATACACATTACATTTCTGGTTCTTCAAAAATAAAAGCACTTCCTACTTAATGAATTCAGACATATATCATTAACTGATATCATCCTATTTATGTTATTTTTCCCTGAATATTAATATTTATATTTCCTTTTCCGGGTAAATATTATATCATAATTTTCCAAATGCATTACATATTATGGCTAATGATTTTTAATTCATAATTAATTCAATTAATTGTAATTATTAGAGACTTGAGAATTGACTGCAACTGGGGAAAAAAACAACTTCATTTTGACATAACAAAGCCGTAAATGTGATATTTACCTGACCGAAACCTTTTATTTCTTTCAGGATGTGAGCTACATCAAGTTCCACCATCAAAGTGTGTCTTATCCTTCTACTCCAAGATCTGCTGATACAAGCCAGCATGTGCAGCTAGAGAATCCTCTAGCTTCTGAATCTCCGAGAACAAACCCAGCATCACCAAGACAAGATTTAACTAACACCTGCATGCAGTATCCATGCAGCGGAAGAGCTGAACCAGCGAGGATGGTCCCTGCACGTTGCCACTCACCCAGCAGAAGCAGGCACAAGTCTGGAAAGGCAGATCAGGTTTTGGGTTCAAATATCAGCGTTTCACTTTGTAGGAGCCTTCTCCAAGAGGTTCACTTCAATGACTCCAAACAGCATAAGGTAGGACTCAAAGACTGTCACCCACTTTACATTATATCTCTCAAAGTGCTCTTATGGATAATATTTTCCTTTGCCTTGTTATAATTCACTGAATGGATGTAGATGAGATTCTGCACCTAGTTACTCCCATTGCGAGCTCCCACTTTTGATGTTACAGTGTACAGCTGCAAAACAGTGGCTTTCCAGCATTCACAAGAAATGCATCCTCAGTAAGATAACTATTGAATCAGGTTTGACTGTAGTAGTTTTTCAGTTAAAAGCCAAACAAGTTAATCTTTTTAACTTCAGTATTGTCATTGCTCTTCTTGTTTTGTAATTTCATATAGCTGCTCAAGCTTGAAATTTTTATGGAATAACTGAAAATGATCAAGTAAGACGGGCATAGATGGAGGAGAAATTCCCACCTTCTTTGAGGACATTTTTCTGTAAATATATTTAACAGTCAAAACCTGACTCTGAGCCACTGTCAGCAGTGCCCGCAGGCATCGGTTCCTCTAAAAAGAAAAGCTCGGGTGAATCCACCGTAAACTGTTTGTCCCGCATCAAACATCAGACAGAGGTGACAGAAGAGCAGGTGAACGCAGAGCTGGCTCAATCAAACATCCAAATGCTTGTGGGGAGTTTTGTGGACGCCACAGTGGGATAAAACAGACAGCTGTTGTTTGTTTTATTTCCACAAAAGTTGATTAATGAACCAAAATAAACATAATTGCCTTTAAGCGGGCTGCCTGTGTTCTGTAGAACTTCCAGTAAATTTCTTATTTATGCTTAGCTCTGCTGTTAAAACTCAGTTTTGAAGCCTCATAAGAAACAGTCATCATATTAAATCATTTTATGATATTTTTACTACGGTTCTTTACAAAAGTTTTTAGGCATCCTTATCTTTTCCACATTTTGTCATGTTACATCCACAAACCTTTGTGTATTTCACTCAGATCGTATGTAGGCCTACATCAAAATAGTGTAGTTTGAGGTGAGAGGAATTTTGAAATTTTCCACATATGAAAACACATGAAAAATGTAACCTGAGTTAGTATCCTTCCAATTTAATACTTTTTAAGAATACCTTTGCTGCAGTTGCATTCTTCTGGGGGAAAACCTCCACCAGTTCTTCACGTGTAGAGACTAAAATTATTCTCCTTTGTACAGTAGCTCAAGTTCAATTAGATTAGATGGTGGTGAACTTAATGGGGCTAAGTATAAATGAATCCTGCACTTTCCAGACTTTTATCTGTGGAAAAAAAGATTAACACGTTTAATTTTCCTTCCACTTCATAGCTACGCTGGCCTGGCCAATGCCTTCCTACGCAATTTCGCTCTATTCTCATCGCCCTTCATTTCGCCGTCTGCGTTTTGCCCCATTGAGCTCTATTTCTCAGAATCCATTTCACCCTGGCCAATCAGCAAACAGAAGGAGGAGTTATGAAGAATGGCGATGAGTTTCTGTGCTGTTTTTGAATTGTAGTCTGCCTGTGGTTGTAGCTTGGCAACGGTGGCAGAGGAAGTGAACATTCAGTCCATGTTGGCCGCGCTTTCCAGATATTGAACAATTAAACTTGGAGCTTCTCTCTTTGCAGCAGGGGTACGGTTGTTTACAGTGCACACAACTCGTGGCGTAGCTTCCTTCACAATTGAGCTGGAGCATTACAAATGTCACGGCCAAATGTTAGTGACTGGGCACAATCAGATCCAACTGTTTAAATTTCAACATGGACAACATCTGCAGCAAGCAGTTGTTTCTAAATAGACGAGGTTTCAGACCCTCTGTACGAAGCAAAGCAGAGAACAAGGGGCTTTTACCAGGCTACACTTTTGTACTGTGTTGTGCAGATCTGTCACACAAATCGCAGTAAAATACATTATTGTTTATAGTTGTAAGCTAATGTGTAAAAGTATAAAGTGTATAAATAATCCTGTAAAGCTGCCTACCTGTTTCTACATCAGCTATGATCACTGTTAGTTCAGACAACTAAAGGGGTTACCAAAAATGTGTTTCAGGATTAAACTATAGCAACAATTGAGGGGAGTCCCTTGCTTATATCGAACACATCTAGGATCTGAGAGGAGTCAGCTGAAGTGATCTCAAGGCCTGAAGCAAGTTCTGTATCAAAGCTGTTGGTTTTTGCATGCGCACAACTCTCTGCTGAGTGATATCGCAGCATCCTTCATCAGTGCAACTCCTCACCGCTGATTTGTGCCAACTCCAGCAGGCAGCACGCAGTGATGGCTTTGAGTGAAATGTTGTCAGAGAAATATGACAAGGGGTTTGTTTCCCCTCCTGCAGCTCCAGTGTATTGACTACCATTGATTCGGCACAAGAGTCCCTTACACTTTGTCTGACAAATCAAGTTACCATAGGACTCTCCTAAATCAATAGATGCACTGTTTAAAGAGGGTTAAAGCAACAGAGCAAGTCCAGCACTACCTTAATGTCTGCCTGGCATCCAGGCTGCAGTTAAACTTTTCAGACTATGTTGACTGCAAAGAATACAGTACTTACAGATTCATACACCTCGGACCTTTTTTACAATTTGCCACATTGTAAAAAGTGGCAAGCTGCCATTTTTTACAATGTGGGATCACAAATGTCAATGTTTTATTGTAATAATGATAATAATAGTAATAATAATAGACCAGCACAAAGTGGCCAGTAATTGTTAAGTAGAAGGAAAATGAATGCCAAGAATCTAAAATGTCTCTGCCCTTATAAGTCTATAAAGATGCAGTTCAGGTCACCTAATTAGTAAATGAAATGCAATTGTGTGTAATGTAATCCCAACATAATACAGCTCTGCTTAGGCTTCATGGGTTTGTCAGAGAGCAGCTGAGGTGCAAGAATCTGTTGACAGGACACCTATTAGTCCTCCAAAGATAAAGGATTTGTTAAAAAATAAAAATAAAAGCAACAACAGTAGTGTAAGGTTGTTGTAAAGTAAGTATGTAAGATTATGTAAGGGGCACAAACATCCATGAAGGTGCTTGGGTTAGCAAAAATCAAGTGATTTTTTTGTTTTGTTTTGTTTTGTTTTGTTCTACATTAAAATTGCAGTGACGGAAAACTAAAAACCTAAAAACACCATCCTCACTGTATGACATGGTAGCGGCAGCATCATGCTTTGGGGATGCTGTTTTTCAAGAGGGTCAGAGAAGCTGGTCAGCATTGATGGAAAGACTAGTGGAACTAAATGCAGAGCCAAAAGAAAAAAGAGTTGAGAAAGTTAAGATGCATGAGAATGAGCAGTTTATGCCCCAGCCCAGCTGAGAGCCTGTAGTGGAAACTGTTTTTTCACAGACGTCCTGCATCAAAACCGGGATGTGGGTGTATAAATGAGTGTGAATTTTGTTTGCTTTTATTGATAAATCATGCGTTTAATTTTGTTGTTGTTGCCTAACAACATGTGGAAAAGTTCAAGGGGTATGTAATAAACAGGGTCTGTTAGTCACGTCTTTGAATTTAGTGTGTAGCTTGCAAAAAAAAAAAAAAAAAAAAAAATTGATAGCCTCCAAATGAGTGATCTCTATCTTTTATGGATAATAAATTTAAAGGGAGAAGAAAATGAGATTCTGAGGACTGTTGAGTCGAGTAATTATGCCTCACAACTGCAAGCCAGCACAAGGATGTGTGAAGACGATGACGAGGAACTCCAAATGCTGGCAAGCCTGAAAAGACAGCAGGACGAAGACGAATGTAGGGCTCCTGCCCTCAGCGCATCTCAAGTCCACCAGTGTGATGTCAGCATCAGCCTGAGCAGCGACGACGCCTCAACCTGGACCCACATCTCACAAGTATGCGCCATCACGCTCTGATACTTTCCATCAGCCCTCGTTAACTCTTTCCTAACAAACCCTGCTCAGCAGAGTGATGTAGTCATTAGTAGGTTGTCCTTCTGTCTGAAATATTTCCTTTGACCCCGGTTGACCCTCACTCTTGCTAATTTCCATTTCAAGCCCCTACATATGCCACCCTGAAGTGCTAATGCATCTTCTTCTCTACAGTACTTTCTGCATTACAAAGGATTGAGAAGATAGTAGCACTTTTATTGGGCTTTTCCTGCTTTTAAGAGTACACTGGCATCACATCCGCAGCACCCTCAGTGACTGAAAATTATTTAGGTCAGTTGAAATTATCCCCCAGAAGTCTTTACAGAATTCAAAGATGGTGCAGTTTGCTCTTGGCTACTGAAGGTCATTATATTATGATCCATTAGCATATGCACGACTCTTTTATGAAGACAGAACACTGCTGGCTTCACTGTAGAATCCCCAGTGAATAAAAATCATCACAGAAGCTCAGGTTTTGGGGCTGTTGGCAACTCTGTACATGCAGGTTTCCTTTAAAGTGCTGGGATAAACAGAAGTGGTACCAAAGGGATTTTCATCCTGTGGTTTAGTTTGAGGACACACAGATATGGTCACCAATAATATATATATATATATATATATATATAAAAACAAGTTCCTGAAGCCTTCAAGAGATTCAGTTTTTACCGAAGGACTGAGAGAGATTTACAGAAGTGATCTCTAGTCAGTTGCATTGTTTAAAAGTCTTAATATGCACAGTATGACAACAGCACCACCAACAGTATATGGGGGAAATGCTTTTAAATAAAGAGAAGATGGAAACACAGCACAACACATTGTGAGAGCAGATATAGATTTGGAGACACTGTAACAAATAAAACCTCCAACAAAAATGAAGTGATGCATTTAGAACCAGAAGATAATCATGAAACCTTAATAGAAAAGGCAGGCACTCACAGGAAATGACAAGCCATTTCTTGTCCCTGGATGCTGTGATTTCAGTGATTCCCACCGCTGTCATTCGTGCCATTGTTGCTGGTTTCACTGCTTCAGCAGCCACTGTAAGAGCCCAGACAGAAGTTCTCCCCCGGGCGATGCTGTGCGAGGCTTGCATTACTAGCAGTCTACTTGTAGATTAAGCAGTTGTGTGAAATTAGGTGTCACATTTACATGTGGTCTCAGACTTTATAGGTAGGGGATTTTTGGGGGGGCAAAAAGAAGTCTTACATTGCCTTTCAAATGTATTAAATATTTTTTCCTATTTTATCAGGACTCTGCTCTGTGGTTAGACTGTGAAGAAACATATTTTCAGAGAAAGGGTAGCTCTTTATTTTTTTATTATTTTGAACAAGGCAACATGGGGGGCATGTTGCCTCAATTAAACTGAGAACTAAAGAACATAAAGTGAGACATGACTATGCATAATTTTCTGTGGCGTTTTTTTTCACAGTGCCTTGCAAAAGTTTTTGTGCTCCTTCCTCATTTTGTCAGAAGCAGACTAATAGAAGTCAGCTCTGTTGTGTAATAAGATCTCCTCTTCATTATTTTGAAACCACCAGGCTGCCTCAGTTAAAGTGAATGAAGTTGAAGTTAGAAACGATCATGCATAACCTTCAGTGGATTTATTTACAGCATCTTGCTAGAGTAATACGTAGTAGTGCAGAATTGTAAGATGGAAGGAAACTGTTACATAAAATGTTATTTGCATTTGTATTCAGTGAACCACTGATACAACACTTTGCAAAACCGTCTTTTACCACAACGACAGCTACAAGGTGTTGAGGTCTTTGCTATCTTTGTATTTTTGGTCTGAGTCTAAAAGTGGTTTTTATTGACACTAAAAGACAATGAGGTTATCTTTTAGTGTCAGTATGCCTGTATGTGTAGTGTTGTTGTCCTGCTGGAAAGAAAAACTAAATTCCAGTCTTAAGTCTTTTGAAACTTGTTTTCTTCCAAGATTGCCCTGTGTTTAGCTCCATCCATCTTCCCATAATTTCTAAATAATTTTCCTCTTTCCTTGCCAAAGAAATAATCGAAGAGTGCGATGAGGCCGCAGTTGTGTGGGGCTCTTCTGCTCAGGGTGATGTGCAATGTTAGTTTTCTGCCACATATTGCATTTTTCATGTATTTCAATAAGATTTAATTTTGGTCTCATTTGACCAAAAATGCTTTTTGTAAGATGTTTTCTACCTTCCAAACTTTGCTTGTGGCAAATTGCAAACGGGACTACTTATGAGCCTCTTTCTATTCTGGTTTTCTTTCTACACTGGTCCAGAATGACCAGACTCTAGTGTCCACAACTAATAGTTGACAGACGCTCCCACTTGAGTTGTAGATCTCTACATCTGCTCCAGAGTTATGGGCCTCTTGGTTGCTGATTTCTCTGATTAATGACCTCCTTCCCAGGGCTGTTAAGTTTAGGTGGATGTCTGGATAACTTTGCGATTCTGCCGTAATCTTCCCATTTCCAAAGTGTCAACAACATATTGCTCTGTGACATGGACGATGCTTGGCTTATTTCAAACCCTACTTTAAGCTTCTCTACAACTTTCTCCCTGAATTTTCTGCTGTGCTCATTGGTTTTAATGGTGTTGTCTTTTAGTAATGGTCTCTAACCTACCCTCTAAGGTCTTCACAAGAAAGCTGGATTTAAACTGAGCTGCAGTTACACATAGGTGGACTATTTACTAAATATGTGATTATCGAAGGCAGTTGTTTAAACTGGAATTTATTTAGGGGTATCTGTTTCAATGGGGCTGAATACTTATGCATGCCACATTTTCTGGATCTCTGCTTGCAAATAAAAAAAAAAATGAAAATCATGTTTTCTTCTGTCTTTTCCTAAATTTGGCAAATGACATTTGTGTTTTCAGTGAAAAAATTGGAAAAAGCTAAAACGAATTTAATACTTTTGCTTTTATCTTGACAATAATAACCACAGATGGAAGTCTGATTCAAGCAGAACCCCCAAAATGCCCAAAAGCATATAACACATGACAACACCAAGAAATGTTTTTTTTTTATTCTTTCAAAAATGGATTTTTTTTTTTCTTCCCTTGCACCAAAAACATTTGCCAAGTTGACTATGACAGTTGCTGTGAGGAATTTAAATGGTTAAGACATACGACTAGACTCCGGTGTTTTAAATGCCACAAAAGCGTTTGTAGAGAGCTTCATCCAGTCGCCTCATCAAAAGAGCTTTCTTACATGTCAGTGTTGACTAAACAGCTCATGACAAGCCTGCAACTTGCACGATGATAAAAGCTCAACAATCACCAGCAACACAGAGTGCCCTGACAATCTTCCCCAACAAATGGGGCATTCCTTTGTTTGTTATGAAAACGCCTTTCTTGGCCGATCCTGCCACAACAATTCAAGGCGGGCTGACTTCGGCTCCATTTTGTAGTTGCCAGGGTGACTTTTTTTTTTTTATGTTTATGGTGAGATGCCTGAGAAGTAGCAACAGTGATGACATCAGCGTCTTTTAAAAAAGTTCAGTTTTTTTTTGTTTTTTTTACCTAAAGTACTTGGATCAGCTTGACAGAATAAAAGGAGAGGAAGCTCTGAAACAGCTTGGCACAGCACTTTTCCTATAGGAGGTCACATGCCGCCACAAACATTTTCTCATCATTGGGAGGAATAGATAAGAGATTCCAGTGTTCAGATACAACACTATGTGGATAAAAGCACTTAATATAGAGGCTACGTAGCCTAACCCTAATGTAACCTTCGTGTTGAAAAAGTCCAATTTACTGCTAAAATGTTAACACAATGGTCTCTTTGCTTATATTTCATGTTGGTTAAAAGGTTTATGAAAACTTACATTTCTAATATTATTGTAAAAATTAAACCTATACATCCATTAGTGGTGTGTGACTTATCTTGTAAGAGAGAGACTGGCTCTTTTCCCAGCTTTCTTTGGGAAGGAGGTGGAGTAAACCCACCACATCAGGGCCAAAATGGTGACCTGACACCCACTTGTGCTCACACCCAGTTCAGAATCAGTAATTAACCTAACATGCTTGGTTTTAGATAGGTGTTGTCTGTAGCTGCAGGCCAGTGAGGAAAAACCCACACACACGGGCAGAAAGACAGGCCAGTCAGATCAAATCTACATCTGTCCTCCTGAAGGGAGAATGTATTAACTACAACATATAATAATAAAAAAAATAATCAAACTTTAAACTGTTTTTAATGTTAAGATTAAAACACACAAGGGCCTGTCAGACATTTTGTAATTTTGCCAATTATTGACCACCGATGTTTTTTCAGGGCTTGACCTGCTGATATGGCTTCTAGCTGATTCTGGGTTCTCTTCAGCTACCAGCTGATTTCAGAACTTTCTTTTTCTACATTACTGAGACTTTATAAAATAAAGGCGGGAGGGGGGGTTATTCATTTTCCAGGTATCATTTTATAGCACAATCAAGTAACTATGCTACCTTCACTTATTGTGAAAATGCTGCATATATCAGAAACAACTTGAAATAAAGTTAACATTGCATTATAGTTGTATCTGGCACTTTGAAATTGCCTGTGTCTTTTTAAGAACCTCCTGGCCTCTCTGACTCTCCAACTTCAGCACCTCCCACGTCAACTTTTGAGTACAGAAAATGATATGGAACAGTTTTTCCCTTCTGCTTTTTTATCTTTGTAGTGTTAACACAGCTTTTCTACAGTTTGACTTTTCTGTATCTTCCTTCCGTAAAACAAGACGTACACTGAGGCAACAAAATGTTTCATGAAACATAGTTAAAAGATAAGCGAGTTAGAAAATAGCCTTCCGTATTAATTAATACATCTTGTATTACATTTTCCTTTACATCCAATAAAGTTTCATTTAAATTTGTAATATAATTACAGTTGAAAGCCGTGGCTGAGCAAGGTTTCAATTAGAGCTACACAATACACGTTTGTTTCACTTAAGAGCAAATATTCATTGTTACTGCCTCGCCTGTAAATGTGTTCGGGCAGTAAGCAGTGGAAGTAAACACTTGGAGCTGCATATATAGAAAATGAAAGAGAACAGCCATGAGACAGAAGTTGGGACACCTTTCAACTCCTGAAAACAGCCTTGATTAAAAGAAATGCTCTTGAGGTAAACAGTAATTTTCTGCTGCGGTTTATTTAAACATGTTTGCCTATGGGGTTGCAATGCATGCTTTTATTAAAAGCTTCTTGTTGAATGTTTAAATTTTTGTTGTTGTTGTTGTTGTTGTGCTGCCAAAAAGTCCTAATTTTACCAGAGACAAACACAGCTCCTAAGGTTTTCTCTGTTTTTGCAGGGTCGCATTACTCGCATGCAAGATCCTAATGTACAAAAGTGGAGTGAGGTGGAGCGATAATAAACTACAGCTCCATGATCACTGATGATAACACAGTGAGACAATGCAAGCAATTGAGATGTCAGCTGTAAAAGCCAGTCGTCTTGTATGTTTTTTTTTTTTGTTTGTTTTTGTTTTTTTCTGAGAGACTCAGCAGCAACTTGTGTGTCAGGCATGCCATCAGTGCATCAGCTACAGCTGCTGAATTGAACTTTCAAACCACGTTTTAGTGTCAGGCAAATGGAAAATAGTGTTTGTTCAAAATAAATGATGTACGTTATAGAACAGCAGATGCACTTCTGTGTTCTGTTCAATGCAAGTGCTTTGTTTGAAATTCCAGTTTATCTAAGTTTACATGACAAAATGTACATGACAAAACATTTTTTTTTATGTTACAGTGGAATACTGAAATGGTTCCTAACCTTCAGTTTCTGGGTGTTTTTCTTTCCTAGTCCTCTCCAGGTAACATGTCATCGTCAGTCCATTTTACCTTTGGGATTCCACAGGGTGCAATTTTAGTTTCTACTACAAGATTAAATAAGAAAGGCAGTGGGACAAATCAGACGGACCAAATTAAATCAAGCAATGCAAAGACTAAAGCTCCAGTGTGCCTGTTTCTTCATCAAAGTCTTCTAATAAAATAGCCCTTACACTCAAAAACACTCCTGAGACTATAATATGGTATTTAGCCTCAGCGAGATCTGTCTGTCTGTTTGTTTCTGCCTTTCTTGCAGTTGTTTTAGTTTTGAATTATACATCAGATTATTATTTCTTTTCTGTTTTATGGATGCCTTGATCTCGTTGTGTTGACCTTTCACAGCCCACCTGTTTGTTCTGGTTCTTAGATCTCTTGTGTGTTTCTGTTTTTCTTCTCTTTTCTTTGGTTTCAATAAAAATCTCAGCTTTTTTTTTTTTTTTTTTTACTTGCTAGCCTGTTACACTTTAAATAATGCCCTTAAAAGAAATTAAAAACAGAAAACAAGACATTATTCTCAAAAGTGAAAACAAAAATCTGCTAATGGATCGAATAGTTTTTATCTACACTCAAGACTTATTGACTTAAGACAAGCTCAGACATCTTACTGAAAAGTTTCTTGTACTTTAGTATAGTTTTATTTTAATTGTACTAATATGTACTAAAAACTAGGACAATAACAGCTGATAAGATTTTGTGTTTTGGCAGTGTATCTTTGTGTAGAACCAGGAAATGTACTTGTACAACACAAAAATAACTTTGTGCCCCAATCTGACCAGCCAGCATGATGCATACATAAATTACATAGAAATGTGGAACTAAAGAACTATAGGCTTTTGTAAGAATTCCCTCTAGGTCTTCTTCATTTTCTCGTGTGCCTTTTGTGATGAGTAGTTCCAGTTGTACAGTTTGTGTTGGAGACGTGAGTTGATATTCTGAACCGTGTCTCCACAAGACACTTCTCACACTGAGTATAATGCCGACCTGAGGGACATGTTCCAGAAATACAGAAATTACTCCATTGATAATAGGAGCCACACTGGCATGGTTTAATTCTCAGACAAGAGTGCATTGAATTTGACCATGGATCTCCACAAATGCGAAAGGAAATACAGATCTTATGGGTCCATATGCATTTCTCAAGGATGCAAGAACGGGTGTAAAGCAGAGAATAAATCAAAGTACATGTCGGCAGATGAATTCAAAGCTGTCTTCCTCTGTTTTGCCCTCGCTGCAGGGCTGCACGTGCACCTGCCACAGGGCAGCCTTTTGAAGACCCCATGTAAAACATGGGTGGGGCCCTGTCAGAAGAAATGCGATTTCCAGAGTGTATGCTCGTCATGCAGAAAGGTCACGGACCAGATGGGCTGGTTTATGACTTTAAAGCAAGTGTGCACTGCCTTCTGGATTCTATAGTTTTATCTGGGGAACGCTTTAGAAATGGGTTTGTAGACGTTTTAACTCTGACACATTTGAATGTGTTTGTTTTTTATCCAAATTTCAAAAGCTGTGATACTAAACAATAGTTTCATAATAGGTCATAGAGAAGTGTACCCTCACCGGTCACTTTATTAGGTACACATGCTCGTGCATATGCAAATCCAATGACAGAAACTCAATTCAGTTAGATATCCAGAGACTTCTCGGTGAAGTTCAACCCGAGCATCAGAATGGTAAGGAAAGGGAATTTAAGTGAAGCTGAATGGCGGCATGGCCGTTGCCGCTGATGTACTGGGATTTTCATGCACAACCTTTTCTCGGATTTACAGAGAATGGTCCAAATAAGAGGAAACAACCAGAGAGCAGCAGTGTCAGTGCATCAAAACTTGAAGCAGATGGCCTACAGCAGCACAAGGCCACACAGGTACCGCTCCTGTCAGCTAAGAACACAAAACCGAGGCTTTAATTCACACAGCTAGCTGAGTACTGCTGGTTGACCATCCTTTTTACACCAGAGTATACCCGTCTTGTGATGGCTTTTTCCAGCAGGGTAATGTCACAAAGCTCAAGTAATCTCAAATCGGTTTCTTGACTGTGACAATAAGTTCACTGTACTCCAGTGGCCGCCACAGTTGCTTGAGCTCATCTAACAGAGAACCTCAGGAATCTGGTGGAGAGATTTGCATCATGGATGTGTAGCTGACCACTCTGCAGCAACGGTGAGAGGCTCGTGCTGTCATGTTAATATGGACCAATATCTCTTAGGAGTGTTTCTAACACTTAGCTGAATCTGTAAAGAAAATAAGTATTAAAACAGTTCTGAAGGGAAAAATGCGGTCCAACTTAGTTGTAGCAATGTGTACCTAATAAAACGGCTGGTGACTATAGCTCTGTAATAGAAAGAATCCTGGACATACTTAAGTGTAATTTATTATTTTATTCGACAGAGGCAGGGCCCATTAATTAGCTGTTTAATATAACATAATACAAAAGCATTTTAAAAATATTAACATTGTATCCTATTTACCTGTATGATTTACCAAAAGAAACATGCTAATAGTTTTCTTTCTTAACAGTTACCATTATAAACACAACACAGTACAATTAGAAAGAAAATAAAATATCTTTTAAAAGAACTACATTGAGAAAAACAGGTGTTTTCAACTGCAATATTTTTTTTATAGATCACACACAACATTTGTTTGCTGTTTGTTCATCACTGAGGGAAGAACAGCTATGAAATTGATGCATTTGCATTTGGAAACTGTTGCTGCAGACACACAATATGTAGTCAAACAAGCTCTCAGTGCGAGTTTAACCAGCCATCCTTAGGTTGCAGAAACAAATCAAAATCTATCAGAGAGACAGCAGGAACGCTGAGAATGAGAAAGAAAAAGAAAAACAGTACAGCTTGGTACATTCTGTGATAGAAAAAAAAAAGTGCACTTTGAGTTTAACAACATTAAAGGACCTAGAGGTCCATAGGAGACAGCTGTGGTGGCAAAGCTTTCAATATTAAAGAAAAGGCTCCTCAGAAAAAAATGCAGTTAAGAGGAGAATGCTCTAGAGTAGAACAGTGGATCGTTATCCACATCTGTCATGAAACTTCATTAGTGCAAATATTGAGACTTTACCCTGAGGTGCAAATCATTCATTCACCATTCCTCAAGAACAACATTCTTTAAAGGGCAAAAGATCGACATTAACCAGTATGCTGAATACAGAATAGGAGAAGGGAATGTTAAAATGGCTTATGATCTGAACCATATATCAACTTGGAAACATGTGGAGAAAGTAAGATAGCAAGGACACGCATGGCTTGTGTTGTCACCGGGTCACAAGTGTCTGCTGATGATCCGATGGGCCAAAGCATTCAAAGGTATTATGCAGGAAAATAAGTTGTGCTCTCTGCTCTGATAGACTCAAATGCAGCAAATCGGATGACATTGTTTCATTGAACAGATAGGCAGTGACCCAAAGCATCCACAGCGGCATCCAGTGATTTTTTTATTTTTTATTTAAGGTAAAATGGCGCAAAGTTATTGGGTCGCGAAGTGAATCTCATTCGCACCGATGAAGATCAACTGAAGAATATCAATATAACACAACAGGAGTAAAATTTTGCAAAATCCTCCACACCTCAGTATTTTTCCTGGAATACTATGTCCACTTCCTACCCAATTTCTAAGTTCAGTCCCTTCTAATTTACAACTGCTACAAACATCTGATTTTGTGAAATTCTCTCTGTGCAGAAGAGAGGCTAAATGCCCTGCGACAATTATCTGTGGAAAACTGCCACTTTCTGTTTTGGAAGCATCTATGTTTGACAAACGGTAACCTTCATTACTCATCCAGGACAAAAAAAAAAGAAGATCTTTCTCTCTTGATGCAGATAATTTTTTTTTGTCTCTAAATCACATACTTAGTGCTGTTCTTCACACTGACATGTCATTGACGTGACAAAATAATAACAAGAATTTCTGGAAATGTGCCGAACTTGAGCATTGGTGACATTTTAAAGCAGCTTCTGACTTTTTTTTTTTTTTTTTCATCTAGGCAGTGAATCAGGGACATCATTATCAGAAGGAAATGAACCCCTTGCTTCAATCAAACCCAAGGTAAAAGAACTCGTCTCTCTATAGACGTGCATTTTATTGTTTTTTTATTTAAAATACAATATAAACTACAAACTTTTTTGGGGTAGATGAGGACATGGGTTTTTTTATTTTATTTTTTTTATTATTTTCGCACACTCAAATGCGTTGCACTCCAGTGTCTTACTATGAAAAGACTTGCTCCCATTAAACAGAACTGACATGCCGTCTAACCTCTTTGCGTATTGGATTATTAATAGTCTTGGTGAAGAGAAGACAATAGTTTTTAAAATTGTAAGCACCACTGATGTACATCATGCATTGCCTTAGAAACAAACGGCCTTGAAGCCCAGAGTTAGGCTTACAAAAAAAAAAAAAAAAGAAAGTTAGAAAATCACAATCAGATGGTTACCAGTGACTGCAATATTTACTCTAAATGTCAACTGTCAGATGGATGTGTAGGCTGGGGCTTATCTTGCTCTCAGAAGACTCCAAATAAACTTGGAGTATGTCAGGTACTGTGCTTTTCTTCTCCCTGAACTGCTGTTGTCATTTTCACAACGGCATTTTTCCCCCCCCTCTTTTTCTTTGTTTTTAGCAGATTATCATGCGTGGCAGGCTTCATATCTGGAAACTATCTGATAAGAAGTTTAATTTTGCTGGGAAATTTGATGTACACATTTGATTTGAGCTTCTGAAAATTAAAAGAGCACATCTTTTCCCTTTCTGTGGTGCAGAAGATTCAGTTGTCTTTAATGCAGAACAACAATTAGACATGGCCAACATTGTTTTACTTGCCTGCAGATTAAAGTGAAATTCAAAAAGAATAAAATTCTAAGTAGTAACCTGTTATTACTGGAGGAGAAGGAATTGTTTAATAATTCCAGGCTTCATTTAAGTTTAAAGCTGAGCTACCTTCTGCTGCATAACAAAAATCTTCTTGCTGGTGGGAAAGATGGTCTGAAATGTTTCACACCTATCATTTATATGTGTCATTTTGTAATTTTTCACAAAAAGGTGAGAAAAATTTGATTGTATAACCCTAATGTAGAGTGGATTAAAAAAACTGAGAACAATGTGGATCATTTAGAATTGTTTTCAACATTGTTGTGCCCTACAAATAACACCACATAATTATTTGTGGAAGACACATTTGTGGTGCAAAAGTAATACTGAACATCATAAAAATAACCAATTCTCACAGTGAAGCATGGTGGGGGGAGCATCTTGTTTTGAGCTTTTTGTTTCTTCAGCTCAAACTGGGACTATAAGTCAAGATGGAGGGAATTATAAGCAGTTCTGATTACAGCTCAATGTTACTGCAAAACCTACAGGCTTTTCTTAGACAACTAATCATGCAAAATAATTCCCAAACCTATACGTCCAAATCGGCCATAGAATTTGCGGGTTCGACGGAAGAAGGTTCTTAGAATGAGCCAGCCAGAGTCCAGACCTGAGTCTGATTTTTAGAGGAGAGGGCAAATAATACCAAGTCAAGATGTGCCATGTTGATAGGAGCCCTATCCAAAAAAACAATAACAAAATGAAAAGATGCATCATCAGCTAGAAGATATCTAAAACCAATATTTTACCTTTTCTGTTTTCACCTAAAAATATTTAATTTGTTTTTTTGTTGTTGTTTTTTTTTTTTTTTAAGTTGAGTTGTATAGGTTCTAGGTCACAATAAAGGCATGCAAAGTTCAGAAGTTGTTTATCTTGGCCTCAAGTCGTTTACATCACAGAAAATAAGCATTCCAACAGGGCTGTGCTATCTCTTCATGCTCACTGTCTGTCAAATTTGTTTTGGTCCTCGGAGAGAAGGAAGCTTAGCGGATTGAGTTATTTTAAAATAGGCTCAAAACCTCCTCTAATGCATCTGTTGCTTTCATTAAAAAAACAATAAAAACAAAGAATGATAAATAATCTAGCATTGCAAACATGTCACAGTGTACCGCTCAGTCTCACTGAGACTGAATCCCAGCCTTTATCTGGGCTGTATTGTGCACTATTTATCCATCTGAGCGCCCTGCTGTGGCAGTGTATGAATGGATCCAGTTGTCCTTGGAGGCTTCTGCAGACATTATATCGCGCCAGCACTCGCTAAAGCACAGCCGCGTCTCTGTGCTTGTCCATCTCTTTACGGGTGTACACAACCATGTGATGTGTTACAAAGGAAGACAAAGGGGTTGCATCACAGATCGTGCTACTGCAAAATATGCAACTCCCTCCAACCACCCACCCAAACGCTTCTGATTTATTGATGAAAAGCAAGGTACCCCGGCGAGAACGCATGTTGTCTCCCATGTGTTTAAATAGTCTTTGTGGTATTTGTAAGAACAGATGTAAAATATCTCCTTGGCTGCAGGAACAAACGAGATGGATGTTTTTTTTCCTCCCCTTTTTGTTGTATTTAACCAACAAACTGTATGACTGCTCAGTGAAGGGATGTTATTTGATTGAATGTCCACAGAAATGGATATTAGTATTGACTGGGAGCTCAAACACGCAGCTCTACAGCATCTACAGCTGTAATGCTGAAATTAGACTTAGAGGCAAGTCATGATTTACATATTAAATAGCAGCTGCGCAGGATTTCTGCTTGTTTTCTTTGTTTTCTTCAAGGCTTTGCATCCTCATACACCGTTACAGTGAATACTATTATAATGTTTTTAGAGCATCCTGGCACCGCTGTAATTCTTTCTCTCTCTGCTAAGAACTACAGCTTCCTTGACAACAAAAATGCTCCAGTCTCTGAGCTTTATGTTGCCATGGCTTCTTCTTCTTTTTTTTTTTTTTTTGTAACGTGATGTATTTTCTTTGGCAGCTTATTTTAAAATCTAACATGATGACATGCGTTTTGTTATTATCTCTCATGCTGGCAGGCGCACGCATGAGAAAATGCAAATTAGAGGAATATTAGAGGAATACTTAAACGTAAATTAGAATTGCAAGATATTTAAACGAATACAAGTTTGAACTTTTAGTGGAGTTGCGAAGGTGTAAAGCAAACAGTGTTTTATTTTTTTTCTCTGGGAGCTATTTGGAAAGCATACTTTCAATACATGGACTAACTTTGCAGAGGCAGCGTACCTGCACACGCTAAATGAAGAGGAATTATTCTCTTTATCCTACGCCTGTATTTGGAGTGTAATAAATTAAAATTCCAAGAATTTAATCACTCTTGCCAAGTCCCACTTAACATTTTGAAGTCCAATTTACACTTTGGTTGCAGGGACCCTTGTCCTTGAAAATTGCTTCCATTAACTTTTATACAATGTTCCTGCCCATCAAACAGTCAAAGTGGTTTTTGGAAAGCGGTAAATGCTTCTGTTACACAGAAAAATCAACTCCTTAGAAAAGCTCACTTACGTTACTGCTTAAAAGGTATTAGAACAAAAATAAAATAATTTATTTTCATATGCATGGAGAGGTCAGATCTGTACAGGTGTAAAACTATATAAATCCAACAGAATATTTAGTTTGGTGTTGGTGATGTTGCCTCTTCACTTTTTTTGTTCCTTTGCAGTTTTGCAACTTTGCACCAAAACCTTTCTGGGAACGTAAAAGATGTCCTCCACTGCAGGACTTTTTTTTTCCCGATCATGCATGAACATTTACTTGTTTTGTGCTTTTGTCTTCGAGAATCTAGTCATAGACTTCCAACTGGAATTTTATTAGGCTTTATAAGACTGACCCAAATGAGGATCAGAACCAAAACGAATAGGAATGGAGTGTTTATGTAACGTTTATAAGCCACAAATTGAATTAAATTATTTTTATTTCTTTGTTATGGTATCGATTGCCATCCGCCTTGCATGGAGGATCAGGGCAAATTCCTGGACTTTGGCATGAGTGAAAGAATGACTACAATTACATGTGAGACTTTTTAATGACTATTTCTGAAAATTCTTTACTACAATGACTATTAAACTATAGTTTAATTACATATATACAAAATGGTTTGTTTCCAGGCACAAAATAGAAGAAGGAAGGGACAAAACTCTAACGCTCACAGAAGACTTGTAAAAGGATTCAACTGAATCTGAGATGTTTGATTCTTCTAGCAGCTGTTAGTCTAAATTGGTGGATGTTTGCTTTAGTTGTTTCTTGTAATTACCAAATAAACTAGCATCATTATGGTGCCATCAATCAGGCAAAATTCTGTAATAATAAATCTGCTTTGTTCATTTTTTGTAGATTTTTAAAAAATCTGCTTTGGATTTATGCAAAATAGTTTGTTTTTTGTTGTTTTTTTTTTGTTTTTTTTTTCTTTTAAATTGACAGCAGTCTTAAATATGTCATGTTGCTGGCAGTGCGCTGTAAAATATAGCAGTAAACAAACCATGAAAAATTTGCCTCCTAAGTGGATGAACTGTTTTCAGGAAGAGCGACAGCAGCAAACATTGCACTTCTGGATGAGAAGGCAGACCAACCAGAGGCAAACGCTTGAATCTCCTGCTGCCAGGCGAATATTGTGCAGAAGATTATACTGTAATTCCACATTAAATATGCTCTGGTTTGCTCTTATCCAGAGGCGCAAGATGTTAATGGTTGATTGCACAACTGATGTATAGCCCAAAAATGATTATGGATGCTGTTTAACAAATGAATCTTGCATCTCTTCCGAGTAATAACTCATCTTGCGATATTTCCTCCCTGGCTGCAATCATTCACGCCGTGCTAAAGGAGCAGTGTTTTCATTTACTGGTAAGTGAAAGATCTATAGTTGTGCCCTGCGTGCATCACGGATGGGGAGGATGCACTCATTTGGGGAGAAATGAAGTCATGCTCCCACAGAAACAGGCGAGGTTAGGACCCCGACTCGTAGTCACAATGTGATGATACTTGGAAGTCGCAGCTGGAGTCAGAATTTAATAAGTGATCCTTCAGGTAAATCTGCGAGGCTGCGGGAGAAGTGGCTCAAGGACAATGGAATCTAAGATGGGCTTCTGAGAGTGCATGATGATGGGACTCCATTGTTAAAATGTCATAGGGTAAGATGGTGAGTGTAATGGTATGTGTTGT